TATATATATTTATATATATATATATATATCTATAAAATATATATCGTCCATACAATGGTGGTACACACATGCACACATTCAGAGCACTTCAAGTAGACCCGGAGAGTGAAGTGGGGCGCGTGCGCGTATCGGTTGTTTATCCGAGCGTGTGCTCCGAGGGATTTTTCGTTAGACTCGAGTGTGCTCTCGTGTAGAACAGCTCGAGATGTGGGAGGGGTTAGGCGAAAGAGATTATAGACTTTTAATCGAAAGGTGAGGTTAATAAAATACGAGAAAAAGGACCCACAGGAAGAAGCTTCTTCACGTTCGCCTTAGAGTTAGCTTTAACCTTTATATGTATATCTATGTATATGTATATACCGTCTTTCTTTACTTTTCACTTGAGAAATCCAATCTTTCTGTTTCGTCCGTTATTTGTACCCTCTTTCTTTTTCTCTCTATCTTTCTCTCTCGTTTTTTTAATAGGCTAGTACTATCTAAGATGAACAGTATTAATTTTTAATGTTTTTCATAGATCGAACCATACGTTTAGTAATAAACAGAAATTTTTCAACTATTTTTTCTTCACTCGTAAAAAATGATCACAAGAGCGCGAGGATCTTATATTTTTAATATTATGTTCATTCCACGTCACTTTTCGGACGTCTTTTATACGACGAAGTAGCATCTTGTTTTTTTTACATTTGACCGCGCGTTCGCACCCTAATCATTATGGATCTTGCGAGCAAAGAACCGTGAAATGGGCCGACAGGGTTTACCAGAGTTTGCCGAGGGACATAGCTGGAGGGACGTCATGGACGATCGAAGCGTGATGACGTGGAACATTCGTTTTTTTCCTATCTTTTCCTTTTTTTCACACTTCATCTTGCTGCTGCTCCCCGTTAATGCCGATTATGGTAGTAGCTATGTATACGCTCGTTGGATACTAAACTAAGTAGCTCTAGAAAATACGAGGAAGCTCATCATCGTACAATTTTTCATATTTTTTCGAGCTACAACTTTAAGTTCTAAATTGAGTTTGTTTTATAGAGAGAAAGAAAGAGAAAGAATATAAAGGAGCGATAAGGAAAAGGTTGAGTGAGCGTTCTGGAAAAGAGATTCTTCCTATTTTGCTCATATTTTTTCACCTTCTTTCTTATTCCTTTCTTTCTTCCTTCCTTCTTTCCTTCCTCCCTCCCTCCCTCATTGGTTTCTTTTTTGTCACTTCTTTCCTCGTCATTTGCTTTCTGATTTGCGATCGAAGGCGCCTAGACGTCGAGAAAGATCAATCGATGCGAACTCTGCAGTTAGAGAGAGAGAGAGAGGGAGAGAGAGAAAGAGAGGAAGATAGTTGATTAAAGAACGAGGGAGATAAAAGGTAACGAAGAGGAACGGCCTTGTTTCATGTTCCGTGTTCCGTGTTCTAACACGCGCGTTAATTATACATAAATATATATATATATGCATTTTCACATAGAACATAGACACGCAAATGGAAAAACAGACAGAGACAGAAAGATATCCCATAGGCGTCGTATATGTATGTTACTTTAATTAAGAAGGCTTATTGACTTAAACTGTGAGCCTGGTAAAACAATCTTTTACTTGTACAATATGCGTGTGGCCGTTTAAAAATATATTTTGTGTGCTTTCTCGCGCTCGCGCGCGCGCCCGTATGGATTATTATACGTGTGCGTCCTTCGAGAGACGGTGTGTGTACGAGGGGGCTATCCTTCGTGATCGACTGTAATTTTATATAATATTTGTAAGGCAAATGAAATATTATGTACAGCATACCTGACAGTAAATAATAAGTATCTACCTTACATCTATACAAGGATCAAATTACATAGGCATGCATTATGCGTGTTCCACTTTCCTAGCTCGATCGTTAGTTCTATGTAAGATTGATGCCGGATCTAAGTAATTGTAAACCATTTTCTTATGATTTTTTCATCTTCTTCTTTTTCCCCCTCCTTCTTCTACGATAGTTTCTTTTCCAACTCACGTTCGATAGAAGTAACAATAACGATAACCGCTAAACTAACTATAATATTATTATATTTTCCTTTATTTAGAAGTATATAACATCATCCTTTCTAGGAAGTTTACGTTACGTCTAATGTATACAGAGTTTGTATACAGTTTTCTTTCGGGCGAAGTCAATCGAACGACGAGTTGGAAGCCGCGACAGACGATTCGAGAATTCGATACTTGCAGGACTTGGTTCGCTTTAGGAAGTTTGTCGTTTTGAAATCCGTGTGTCGCTCGTCCTCTGTGTTTCACCATCATTTCCAATTCTCGTTTACGTAGTATCAAACATACGATGCCAGCCAATACGAATTGATTTCCGTAATTTGACGATGATAGCCGAGGAACTAACTTTCTGTCAATCGCAAGTCCTGCAACGTAAATAGATACGCCATCGCTTTGAACCGACTTTGTTAGGAATCGCATTATCAACATTTTGTGATACAGCCATACCACCTAAAGTGTGGTTAAATCCCGAAAACGTGGCCAAAAGTTCAAGAGTTGTTTTCGAGGTCGCTGATTACGAATCTAATATTATTTTTTTTTTTTCAAAACAAAATGGCAGACATTTTTATTAAAATCCTTTCAAAAGTCTGTATTTAGGGGTATTTTGAGCTCATTGATTATGAACCTGATATTATTTTTTTGAACAACATAATAAAGGACTGAAAATCAATTCTTTTTTTAATTTTGTTGTTAAAAATGTATTTTTTTTAGAATTGTCTATTTACAAGCTTATATTATATTCACTTGGAATTATATTTATTTGTAATTACGTAAAGTAGTGAATAAAGTGTAAGATTGTGCATTATGGTATAAAATCGTGAATAGAAGTTAAACTTGCACGAACTTGCAGATAATTTTTGGATATTTATTAGGTAAAAGTTCAATGAACAATTTAAACTCCATTTGAGCGCGTAATGCGACCTAATATATATAACTTTACATAATATATTATTTATTAGTAACTATATTTGTTATTCACGTAAATTTTTTAGAACATAATCCAATAGTACTTACTGTCAAACGAAAATTTCATATTTATATGTTGAAATCGTATATATAGATTAACTGCACTTGCGCGTTTAAAGAGACCATTATTTTGAGGGCGTAGCGAGTCACAAATGCGATGCGCTCGACGCTTACGTTTCAACTGATAATTGAAAGGAGTGCATAAGCGAAAAAAATGGTTGGAAAAAATGGTACGTAGTACATTAAATATATTTCTATGGTTAAAAGTCTCCAAACAAAAATTTTTGTTGAACTTCTTTATACGTTTTCGGGATTTGTTCACACTGTGTGACGTATGCAAGCGGAGACTTTTTTCTTGATAGAGAAAGAGAGAGAGAGAGAGAGAGAGAGAAAAAAACTACTCTTTCTAAAGAAACTTTCCAAGAATATATTTACAAAAGCTCAACCATATTGAAGCTAATTAACGTTTCATTTCATGTCAAGGAAATTTAAAA